CTGTCTGGGTGCGTTCTTGTGGTGGCTTACTTTTTGTGAAGAACTGATCTACGTTACGGTTTTATCCAGCACAGCTTGTGTGCTGATGAATGATTCTATGGGTTGTAATTCGAATATTATTTCCTTTATGTACTACTTTGTTTTCTCTCTATCTTTAGCTAAGATGGTCTATTCTTTGTCGAGTTGTTTTGCCAAATAATAGCCAAAGGGGAAGTTTGTTAGTGTTTTATTTCTTTAAAAAAAAACCCCAACATATAATTGACAATATTATTATGGAAAATTAAGATATGGTTTAGCTTGGTGTCTGTTTGTTCTTATAGACGACTAACCGATCAGTATAATCAACAGACGCACTGCCACTGAAGATATGATAAAGGAAGATGTTTCCAAAATGCTGAACGCGGTTTGTAATGACAGTTTTGTAAAGAATATCAGCGGATCAGCGTGGAAGGTATGGACCGAATCTTAAAGATTTCATTCTTCACAAAAAGTCCTACCATCTACAATCAAAAATATTTTTGGAGAGTTTTCTTACCAAGGAAGTATATATATACTCATTCCATCAACAATTAGGGTTGCGTTGATTGAAGCCAAAAAACACTCGATGCTAAACAGAAACACACATCTCTGATTGTCATGCCTCTTCTCAAGACAATAAGTTCTTGGTGATTATGATGAAAAACTTGAGAAGAATCAACGTTGCTTAAACAAAAGGACGCGAAGATCACTTAGTTGGGGGAACAACGTGGGACTGCGTCATTGAAGCGGACAACATCAAAGTTAGCTCTCCAAGTTAAGGGATTTCATTGGACTTCTCCATGTGTGGCTCTCCGACTTCAAGAATCCAGGCCACTAAACCTTTGTAGACTAGGTACAGACCTTGTGTGGGGCACTTGGGTGAGATTGTTGTTTCTCTACCTTTGTACATTGGATTATGATTTAGTGGATTGGACGCCTCGGTGATCGTCCACCAGATGTAGATACACACTGTATCGAACTGGGTAAACATCATATGTGTTGATTTATTTTCTGCTTTAGTCTTTCGCTTTAAACTAATCTGCTTTCTAACTGGATGACTGGTAAATTAAGTCTCTGAGTCAGTCAGTCCAGTATTCCAGTTGATAAAAACTATCGATAGTGTTATACTGAGGATATGCAAAATTACAACAACATCCCACTAGCTCCAATTGAACAAGTTTACATATCATTCACAGAATTTTATGAAAACTTCTAAATAAATTTGTAACTTAATTTTTACTATATCATTATAACAATATCTATTGTAACCATATATTTTAAATTATTTATTATCATCATCTATTGACAACAATTGTAGCAATTGTCATTGACAAACTCCCAAAACAATTTCTCTCAATAACGAATGGAAATACAAAAAAATAAAATTAAAAAAAAATCATTGACTTCATTGTATATGCATTTAATTAATTTAGAATTAGATGTTTATAATGCCTTTATTAAAAAAAATGTTATTCATTATAAAAAAAAATTAAAAAGAGATATAATTCCATTAGTTATATTATATTTATTTTCTACGATTCAGAGATTCATTACCTTCAAATTCATTAACTAATTATATTCACTACATTATCTATTGTCTTCTTTTTACATTATCTTGTAATTAAATATCACATAATAATTTATTTATTTAAACTAATAATTTAAATTTCAAAATCTAAACAAGTTAATAGTAACATATTTCCAAATCCAAACACAACATAAGTTCAAATAACAAGAAAACAACCTAAGTGTCTAAGCCCATCTCCAACCCTCTACACCAAATTTCGTACCAAATTTTACACCAAAAGAAATATTCCCAACATATTCTTACACTAAAAGTTTTCCATCTCCAACCCATTACACCAAATTTTATTTCTTCACTAAAATAATTTGTTTTATCATAAATTAAGACTTTGTATTATCTTTAAATATTTTAATATATAATATAATTATAATGTAAATATTATGTTAATTTTGTTTAAAGTAATTTTTGATTTAATTTGCTTTGATCTTGTTAAATTTATGTTTTATGTAGTTTCATTTTTAATTATTCAATCTTCAATATTAGTCTTATTTTAATCATCTTGATGAGATCTTTCAAATGATATAATTTATTTTTATAATATAAAATAAATAAATAAAAACAAAGGACAGTTTGGGAATAAACAATTTTGTGTGAGATGAACAGTGCATCACCAAATTCATCTCACACCAAATATTTGGTAGGATGTCGTGCCCTTTGGAGTCCATTTGCACTTTTTTTTAGCTGTTTTGGTGATTTCGCGTGCCATTGGAGATAGTCTAATAAAAATTAAATACAAATAAGTTTGACAAAAAATCCATCGTTATGTCATTATATGATCATAATACACACTCAGTCTATAACGACATCTACCTTCCAGCATATATCAATACATCGTACATCAGAATGTTCAAGAATTCTAGAGGTAATGTAAAAGAAATTAAATATAATATAAATTGGTAGCGTAAATTGACCCGGGGTTAACCTGCACTTTTGATGTGAATGAGAAGCACAGTAACGGGACAAGGTCTTTTATAGAAAACTTTGACGAATTTAGCCTAAATGCTCGAACACAGTGGAAAGGGGAACAAGGAAGCATTGTATTCATGAAGGTAAAAACTCAGTATGAGTAGTGAAACAGAAGAGTAGACCATAACTTGAAGATGGTGGAAAACTTCATCTATTACAGGAGATGATAACAACCTATATATATACATGTGTTGGAAGGGTAATGTTACTAACAATTATTTGCTGGTTACTTTTTCGCTCTGTAAGGAGGAGGCGATACAAACAGATCTCTAAGCGAACTGTGGATCGAGAGACACAACCGCTGTGGCTGAGTTGGAAGATTGTTCCCTCTGTTTCAGACTGAGAATCTCATTCTGTAGACCTGAGATTCGGTGTGGATTTTCCAGATCTTCTGGATTGTAGTTTCTCTGCGTGAACAGGTTCCACTGCGGAACGGCTATGGAAGTCGCTTGTATTGGAGATCGAGTGATCCGAGACGACCGACGAACTCCTTGGATCGCCTTCCTCTGCGGAACGACTATGGAGGTCTTCTGCTCCGAATTCAGATTCCTCTGCGGAATCGTTGTCGATGCTGATCGGGCTGGCGATCGAGCAATCGGATTCTCCACATCTTCTGGATTTTGGCTTCTCTGCTGCTGCGAATTCAGATTCCTTTGCAAAATCGTTGCTGATGCTGATCAGACTGGCGATCGAGCATCAGCACCTGTTGCGAATTCAGATTCCTCTGCGAATTCAGCACCTGTTGTCGGATGGCTTCTTCGACTGGACTCTCCGATGCCGACAACCACGGTGGCATAGCTACCTCGTCGTCGCTCAGATACCATGACGAATTTAGCCTAAATGCTCGAACACAGTGGAAAGGGGAACAAGGAAGGATTGTATTCATGAAGGTAAAAGCTCTGTTTGAGTAATGAAACAAAAGATCGCGCAGACCAAAACTTGAAGATGGTGGAAAACTTCATCTATTACACGAGATGATAACAACCTATATATACATGTGTTGGAAGGGTAATGCAACTAATAATTATTTTCATGCTCTAACAAACTTCGAGTCTCTTTAAATTAGCTAGGCTATGTTAAAATCTACTATTGTTCTTGGATTGTACATGTACAAAATGGGTCCATTTGTGTGTAGAGATGGGTTGTATAATGTGCGCACAAAGAGTACAAAAGTTTATATTAGGAGAGGGATGAGTTTGGTTTGTGTATAGAGTAATAGGGGTATATTCAATAATGATTTTTGTACACTTTAGAATTTTAAAATGATAGATACTAATAAAATTTTATTAACTTTCGTAGAGTTGTTCAAAACATTTTTAAAATTGATGGATATATTAGGAGAACGGACTCGGGGCAAATCGACCTGGGAGTTGCGGCGTGAGACGAGGGGCCCTGGAGACCCCAACGGGGTCTCCGGCGTGGACCTTGGGCGAGGACTACCACGGGGGACCCTAAGGCGAGGACTACCGCGGGGGTCTCCCCGCGTGACTCGGTCAACCAAGATCCAATCACCCGCCCTATTCTCTTGGGGTCGGTTGGGAGGATTATTTAGTATAAAAGGGCATATCCTTGCATTGCTAAGGACATCTACATCTTGTCTTGTTACTACACTCTCCTTGTAATTTTCCTATAAAAGACTATCCACAATACAAAAGTTGTCCCCGCAGCATACACATTCATTGCCTTTTCCTATTTATTATTTATCGGGTTTAGTGATTCGGGTTTACCCCGGGGAATTAAATCCATCATTGGTGCTCTTGTTGAGAGTTGACGTACAAGCTCGAGCGTGCTCCATGTTCCACTAGTTATGGCAAGGTCGAGGTCCAACTCTCGCGGCTCCCGTAACACCTGTGCCTCCCCTACCGGGGGTGGCCTCAATGGGACCACCAGTCAGCAACGAACCCTTTCTTTGAGGTCGGTGGGTGACCTCAGAGATTACCTCACCAACCACCGCAATGGTGTGTTCGCCCCCCTCCTCCTCCAAATCTCGCTCTTTTCCGGGAGGGGGCGGCCGCCCTTCAGTAAGCCTTAGTGACACTGGCCCGCCTCGCGGAGGGTCTCCAAGGAGGTACGCAGGTCGGCCCAGAGGCCACCCGAAGGGTGCCGACCCCGCCCCCGCCTCCCTCGAGAGGGCGCAGCGCCCAAGCACATAACCACCTCGCGTGCCTGGCACCCCAGTCGAGAGGGAGGCCAACTCGCCCCGACCCCACCATGTCGGGCCTCAATTGGGACGTCATCACCCATAGGCTCGTCGTCGACCCCACAATCAAGCCGGTGCAACAACGCGAGAGGTACCTCACTGCGGAGAGGAAGGAGGTCATGAGGAGCTCTTGACATTCCCTAACGGTAGTATCGAGGGGACACCCCCGCTCACTACTAGGGGACCTACTCGGCCCAACCCCTCAACCTTGGTCCCGAATAAATCTCCAAGATTGCCCGGGTGGAGGTGTAACACCCCGGATTTTCAAGATATTTAAAACTTATAAAATAAAGGTGGTATCTCATTAAATCCCAAAACACAATACAAGAGTGCGGGGTGCTATGCCACACCTGAGCTAGAGAACTCAAGTGCACAGGCTAACTATCTAATATCCTCAGTAATGTAAATACATAAACATGGCACGCAGGCCGAAAGGGAAACTATCTACTTCTACGCTCCAAGTTCTAGCGCGCTCCAGTGACTTATTATTCTGTGCCTGAAAGCCAAATATATCTGTTCAGCGAGAGATGCTGGTAACCCACTTCAACGCGTTGAAATACAATACATATAGAGATATATATATAAATATATGAAAACCATTCTGAGCATGAAGATATATTCTACGAACTCTATCTTTAAAACCGGGAATGACTCGACAGATAAGGCCAGACACAAGCAACAGTTATAACGAGCATATGCAGTTCACAATAGATAAGGCAGATAAGGCAAAGCATAAACAATAGTCACAACCCAACATAAACAATCCCCAACATAATCCCTTAGTCACATCCCCCAAGACACTCATGATCACCACTCATCCACATCACAACGCATAGCACACTTTGTTGGCGCCACAGGACCAATCGCATGCCCATACATGAGGGTCAGCGCATATAGCTCTGACACGGCCCCGCAGCACCCTGCCCCGTATCGCAACACGGAGGGGTCGATCGCAACCGACCGATGAACCGCAGCTCATCATAGTGTTTGATCGCAACCAAGCAGTGGACCGCAGCCCAAGAGAATGTCATCTGACCGCAGCCAGGAAAGAGGACGAACCGCAGCTCGTATAGAAACATTTGATCACAACCAAACGGTGGACCGCAGCCCAAGAGTATCAATCTGACCGCAGCCAGCTTCTGAACCGCAGCTCAGGATAACCAATCCGATCGCAACCGAATTGGGGTAACACACACATAACACGTAGCAAGCACATGCAACCCATATTACACATTGGGAAGGGGAGAAAGCGCATAACAAACCTATGCGTGATCCATCACATATTAAGAATAGCCCTAAGGGGTTCATACTCCTTCCACCTAGGTCAACGGGATACCAATTCAACTAGCATGCAATATAATAGACTCCTAAACCTACGAACGGTACCCGAAACATCAAACTAGACATAGGCACGATAAACGGAGTCCGTTGGGACACCACGGGGAACGGGGGAACATCAAATGGGGAAGCCGGGGTCCCGGGTTGGGGAAATTTCCAGCGGGTAGCCGGTGGGTGGGGGCCACCCGCCGGCTGCCCGCCGGAATTACTGTTCCGGGCAGCGGGTCGCCGGCGGGCAGCTGCCCGCCCGCCGGCTACCCGCTGCCGGGCGGTGTTTCACGGCCGTGGGTAGGTGGCGGGTCCCCTACCCCCCACCTACCCCCCACTGACTCTTTCCACACACTTTACGCCCCGGGAACCGTTGTGGAACCCGAAACCATGCTTAGACACTTTACAACGCAATTAACGACAACACGTAGACAATTAACGAATCAACTATAAGAAACGAACGGCACATAACCTATCATGCTTTTCTAAATATAATCAACACCCAAACATGCGATTTCCCCACCCGATAATCCAAGAATAAGATCATACGATACAACCTAGGGTTCTAATCACTTTTATATCAACAAGTATACGGTTCGTCTTCTAATTGCAAGATTCGGTAAGAATAACATATGAACATCAAGAGCATCACACAATTATCAAGAACAACACATAATCATCAAGAACTCTATATAATCATCAAGAATTCCATAATCATCAAGAATCTCCCAATATCAAGATTATCAAGATCCCTCATGGGATCATCACATCAAACATCAATAATAATCATCATATCTCGCCAATACACAATAATATGGGGGAAACCCTAAGGGGAATCATAGCTATGAAAATAGGTTTTGTTGAGACATGGGTTACCTCTTAGCCTTAATTAATTCCTTGGCTATGAAGGATCTTTCTTTAAGCTTCCTTGCTTTCTTGATTTTTCCTAAGGGGATTCTTGGAGCTCTTTCTGGGGTGGTGGGGCGTTAATCTTGTGGGGAGTCCTAGGTGCCTCTTAAGTCCCCTATTTATATATTTAGGAGTCCTAATTAGGAACTAATATTATAGGCTTGCTAATTCTATTCCTTTTGGAACTAAGGATTCGGTTTAGGGGTTGGGTTTATATATGAGGGCCCATGGACTATGGTGGGCCTTTTTCCCTAATTAATTATAATTTATTCTTTCTCTTGGGCTATTGATTAATTAATGAAATGGTTTTATGGGCCGTAACACGGGGTGTTACACTCTCCCCCCCTTACAAGGGGCTTCGTCCCCGAAGCGCAGTGTTATAGTCCACACTCTCACCCCTAGACACCTCGTAGCTCGGCCTCCTGATTTTGGGTTGCGGCCTTACGTTTGTCTTGGCTTGGGGTAGGCTGAACTTTTGATGGTGCTGTGATAGAGGAGTTTTTTGTTGTACCTCGGTTTCCTGCGCTGGAACTGGATGCACCGCGAGTGCCCAGGGCGGCCTCGATCGCTGCTACCCTTTGATCGAGTGCGCGTGTGGTGCGAATCAAGGATGAGAACCCTTCTTCCATGATTTGATTCTGCCGGTTGAGCTGTGCGAGTATGCGTTCGTTGACCGAACCCTCGTTTTGTCCCCTCGGGTTCCCTCTTGGCTGTGGGTGCACTGACGGGTTAGGCCCGTCTTCCTCCTCTTGTCCCTCACTTTCCTCCGTACCTCCGCAATCTTGCATGGCTCGTTTGAGCTTTTTGTTGGAGATGTCCAGTCGATCAACCCATTCCCTACGTTCCTCCTTGGGTTTTTGGCAAATTTCTTCGAGGGTGAGATAGTGTCCTCCCTCGGTGTGGTAGATGTCGTTGCGGCGGAGGTTTTGGGCATTGGAAACCATGCCATTGGCGGTTTTGACCTCGGTGTGGCTTAGGTCTACCCCCTTTTTCTCCATGATCCAACTTAGGATCATCCCGTAGGGTAGGCTAAGCCGGTTGTTTGTCTTGCAGAACTCTATGTGCTTTAGTTGAGTGCCGGCAGGTTGAACTTGATTTTATGTTTTAGGAGATATGCAAAGGTGCACTCTAAGCTCCCCACATCCTTGCTCTTGTTATTGGTGGGCAAGAGGCTATCGGTTACTGATGGACAATTTAATTAAGTCCTCGCAAGTGCACGAGTCAGTTGTAGTTTTAGCGTGCTTTTAGCAAGGGTCGATCCACAGGGAATTGTACGATGCAATTTAATAACGTGAAATAGTGAGAAGAGAGACTTTAACATAAAATTTTAATGGCAGTAAATTAATAAAAACTGAATAATTTAAGGTACTAGAATAAAATGCCAAATTATGCCAAATTGTCATAGGAAATCAGTGCCAAGAATTAAAATATTGTAATTGACAATAAATAGTGAAGAGAAGAAAAGCAATTATAAAGCTAAGTTTTCAAATGGAAAACAATTCATGCGTCAGCACCAACAATTAACTTTGCTAAGTAAATGGCAACAACTTAAACCACATGGACCAATACAGTATATAAAAGAAAAGTAATGTTTAACAGAAGGAAGCCAGAAGGTCTTTGCTATTGTCAAAATACTTGCCGAACAATTTGTAGCCGCCCAACAACAATCATCTGCTGTCACCGAATGAAGTTGCCAACGAAATAGAATGTTGCGCCACCACGCTACCGCGCCGGAATTCGCCGCCGGAAAACCAGATTAATTTGTGATCTCCATCCTTCTTTTATCGCTCCCGGAATTGATCCGGAGTGATTCATGACCAAGAAGATGAACCTTGGACCTCTTTTATACTGCTCAGCCCCAACTGCTTCTCCGCTTATGCTATCTTGATCCGTGGTATCGATTTCGCAGGGGAACGAGAACGGAGAAACGCCAACGCCATTCGGATCTGCTGTTGACACAGTCGGACAAACCTACGCCACTTGTTTTGTTTGTTGACGCGCTATTATTTGAGAATTGGGATCTCATAACCTATTTTAATAATAATAATAATAATAATAATAATAATAATAATAATAATAATAATAATAATAATAAAACACAAACTTTAACTCAACCAAATTTTATTAATAAAGTATAAGAAAAATTATAAGATTAACTAATATTATCTTATTAATTCCAACAAAGTTTATTAAAATAATAAAATAAATAATTTTTATCAAATTTCCCCACACTTATTTATTTGCTTGTCCTCAAGCAAAGACTTTATTAAAAAGAAAAGAAATTAAAATGAAATCAAGCATAAGATCGAGCTTTCCCCAAATAGACTTTCAAATTTACTACCACCAATGCAAAGTTAGTGCCAACTCAAAGAATGTATAAAACAATTGACTAGAAATTAAAAACTTTAACTAAAATAAATGTAAAACGTGTGCTCGTGTGCTGACACCTCTTATATGAATTATACAAAAACTTAATAAAATAAATATGAAAATTTCACCAAATTCAACCTAAACCAAATTCAGAAATATTCTATCATAGTGCAGGTGCAAAACATGAAGGAAATCAGGATCAAGACATTTATTAAAATTGAAATGCAATTGCTCGTCTCTTCCAAAGTTTACTCATTATTTTTTCTTTTTGATTTTTTTCAAAGAGAACTTCCCCAAAAACCTCGCCATTTTACGCCAGACTTGTTTGGGTTTTCATTTTTGTGTGTACTCATAAACCAGACCACGACACTTATTTATTTATGGTACATGTGTATAGGTGGTTGATTCAGCGGAGTAGAATCTCTTACTATATTGCAAACAAAATAAATAAAACACTCTCATTTATCTTTTTAAATATTTTTTTTAACTTTTTTCTTTTCACCTTACTTATGCCACAAAGATGATCCTTGACCCAACACACTACACCACAATTTATAGCACTCAAGAATTTTTTAAGGATTTGAAAAAGGTAAAATAGAGTGAAAGATGCATATAAACTACTAAAGAAATTGTAT